GCGCTGGCGTCGCCACCGCCGGAGCTCCGCCGAGCGTCGGCCTCGCGCGCAGCCTCTTCTTGCCGCCGCGGATGACCACGGCGCCGGGTGGCGTCGCGCCGACGTCGTCCCGTGCCGCCGCCGCACTGTCGAAGAAGGTCCCCAATGCGGCGCGGACGAAGAAGGGCAAAACATCCGCGAAGAAAAACAAGGCGGCGGACGGCTCCGGCACCACGAAGGCGAGGGGAAAGAAGCTTGCAGGGCGTTCGACGGCCGCGGCGGCTACCGAAGCACCGGCGAGCTCACTCGTTGAGCCGGCCGCCGACGCGCACCACGTGTTCGACGAAATTCCCCCAAGGTGAAAAAATTTCCAACTTTTCTTTTCTTCTTATTTTTTCAATGCATCATCATCACATATAGATAGCTTATTTGCATTGTTCAAAAAACTTTGTAGTCTCAACGATGATGCATACATGTCCACTATGGGTGTTGGGTCCAACAATTCGCATTGGTCTCAAACCAATGACATCCATTTCAAAGACCATGAGTTTGAGGTGGACGAGGAGGGTGAGGGAATTGTCAAGGCGCCGAAAGGAAGAGCGGGCAATTACTCAACCAACGATGACAAGTTACTATGCCATACTTATTTGCAAGTGTCGAGGGATCCATCCATTGGAGGTGATCAAAGTAGAGACACGTATTGGGGGCGAATGAAAGAACACTTTGATGCTCACAACTTGAGTGGAATTGACCGCTCCGAGAGATCACTTCGGTCCCGATGGTCGACAATCAACTCGGATTGTCAAAAGTGGGCGGCTGTACAAAAGGCAGTTGACAAGATTAACCCAAGTGGCACAAATGAGGATGATCGAGTAAGTGGCATCTCATATATGTTCATCATACTTGTTTTTGGTGACCGAAGTGCTAACTTGTTTTGTTTTTCTTGTAGTACAACATTGCAAAAAACTTGTTCAAAGAAGAGACAAGGACAACCAAGAAGGGGAAGATCAAGAAAGGCAGGGTCTTTACCTTGCCTCATTGCTATGAAGTGTTAAAGGATGATGAGAAATGGAAGAAGCATGATGGTTTGGAGGATTTGCATTTGAGCAACAAACGGAAGCGAGCAATTGAGATGAATGATGATGATGAGGAGGAGGATGCATCAAGTGATGACGGCAAGAGAAGCCCCACACCCAACTCGGTTTCACACTCGAAGCCAAAACGACCGGATGGGCGCAAGAAAGACAAAACCGAAAAGAAGAAGAGGAAAGGAGATGATGAGCTCAAAAATGCTATGGAAGCTATTGTGAAGGCAAGGGTCGAAGCCAATGAGGTGAGGAAAATGGCAAGGAACCAAGATGCCGTGGCCGAGGAGAGGAGGTTGCCGGCCGAGGAGAGAAGGGTGGCGGCCGAGGAGAGAAAGGTGGCTTTGGAGGAGAGGAAAGTGAGCAACGAGGAGCGAGCTAAGTTGTTGGAATGGGAGAAGCACTTATTCTTCTTGGACACATCTAACCTCAATGCGGCGCAAAAAGAGTATGTCAATCTTGCCCAACAAGAAGTCTTGATCCAAAAAAGAGCCTTGGTTCGTGCAATGGGTGCCAGTGGCCTCGGCGCCATGGGTGGCGGTGGCCTCGGCGCCATGGGTGGCGGTGGCCTCGGCGCCATGGGAGGCATGGGTGGCTTCGGAGCCATGGGAGGCATGGGTGCACATCCGGCCGCCATGGGAGGCATGGGTGCACCTCCGGCCGCCATGGGAGGCATGGGTGGCTTTGGAGCACCCTCCGACGCTATGGCCGCCATGGGAGGCATGAGTTTTGCTTCTCTCATGGGAGGCATGGGTGCACCTCCGGCCGCCATGGGTGCAATGTCTTTCGATGTGCCTTCTCACACACATTCCCATGAAGATGTCGTTGAAGATCTTGGCAACACCGTCGGAGCTTCACATGATGCGATGCGTGATGCGGTGCATGATAAGCAGAGGGAGGAAGATTCATCTTCGGAGGCGGAAGAATCGTCTTCGGAAGATGAGGACGAAGACGAAGACGAGGAAGATGAAGATTGATGTGTCTTTCATGTCTTGAACTTTAGTTTGCATTTGAACTTGGTTGGATGAACTTGTGGGCATGATTTTGAACTTGTGGGCATGAACTTTTATTCAACTTGTTTGTGTCAAATTTCACATGTTCATTTTTTTCTAAAATATCATATATGCAAAATGCCCGGCGAGTCGCGCGCGCTGTATTTTTACGCTTTGCTGGAGCGGCGCGTGCGCGCGCTGCATTATAGCACGGCTGCTGGAGCCAGCGCAGGCGGGCGTGCAAAACCAGCCGCAGCGCGCGCGGTAAACAGGTTTTTTGCGCGCGGTGCTTAGCGCGGCTGTTGGAGATGCTCGTAACGTGTTAGACTCAATATAATTTTGCTACGGGACTTGGTGCAAATGGAGAAGTTCATTCCAAGAGAGAAAAAAGTCAGATACAGCCCGGGATCTCAGTTACATCTCTGAACTTGAGCAAGCGAGAATGTAAAAAGAACAATTCTACCAAGGCCAAAAGCCGGCAGAATCCTACCACAAAGCACAGGCATCTACCAAACTGTGCCATGTCATGTGCACTCCAATTTCGAATGCTGCTGATGCCATGAAGCAGGTCAAAGACAAGACACATAGAACTGGAGGCTTGTCACAAACTGCAGAGTATAGACAGCGAGGCAGAGCAGCGAGTTCCTGGGGGCACAAATGCTAAGATCTGAAACAGAATACCCTTTAGCTGTTCTACATCTCATGGTTTGTCTTCCGAGAAGACATAAAATGGATCCTGCAGCATTGGGTTCATGCCATCAAGGGGTTATATATGCTGGCCAACCGTTGAGTTGTCACCGAGACTCACCACCCTGTTGCACCACCGGCGCATTCTGCAAGTGAAGGTCAAAACAGTGAGGTCAAGCATTGTTTGTTACAACAGTAGCGTTTAAAAGTGGTGGGTGTGCCATCATGGGATTTCAGCTCTAGTTGATCCAGCCTGTAAAGATGGAATGGAATTGATTTGTTTTTAGCTGTTAGGCATCATTGTTCAAACCAAATGTTTTTAACTAAGACAGACAGGCTCGTGAAAATACCAGAGTCCCACTGCACTGCACTGCAATATTGCATACATACTGCTATATGAGATAAGATGAGTGCATGGTTTTAATACCACAACGTCCTGAAGATTTTGCTTCTCTGTGGTGAAACATTTTCAAATAGCAAACAACATGATGAACTTGTTCATTCCGAAGAAAAACTAAAGTATCTTTGCTTCTAACAGCTTGCCAAAATAACAACATGAGATCTATAAATATGTAAAGATCGCCCTACTACCAGGTTTTCAGAAAGTACTCTTGTCTACGTGAATAATACAACTTCACTGCAAAAATAAAACATACACTACAGGGATGTTTCTATGTAGTTTCCCAAGAACCCATAGGTTAGTTCTGCTCCATATAAATTCACACACTTGGTACCAACCAAATATTTTCAAATTACTTCCACATGTAATGTGCTGAGAAGATTAAAATATATTGTATATTAGAAAATTCAAAGGCATCATCAAACAAGGGAAATAGAATAATAAATAATCATGACATACCTTTGTTAGCTTCCTCCTTTGTTTGAGTTTCACCTTCACATCGACTCCATTCTCAATTATTCCACGCAACACAACCTCAATTTTTCCTTCGATTTTGTCCCCTTTTCTAGGAGTATAAATTGCATTGTGAATATCATCCTCTATTGCACGCTTCGCAAGTAACGCCCCAACCGCCACACATGCCTTGATGCCCTTCCTTGAACCCAGATCAAACTTCATGTCCTTTGATATGGAGTGAGCAACCGACACAACCCTGCTGGTCACTCGGTGAACGAAGCAAGCACGCACTGACCCCTTGGAGACATGTATGTCGAGGCAGAAAGGGTGGTGGTAAGGATCAGTCATCTGGTTACAAGTTGGCACTCGGTCCCTCTTCACCTCAACTATGTCATCCTTATGCACTGCAGGCTCTTCTTTCAGCTTTGGGACCTTCAAACGAGCTGGCTTGTCAGGTTCCACCTTCTCGCAATCGGATGGATTCTTGGCATTGGGTTTATCTCTCTTCCATCTGCGGCGCAAGGGCAAGTTATATTCCTCAAACTCCTTGGACCCCCTGTCCAGCTTGTAGAACAGCTGCTTGCGGTGCCTCATGTCATCTATCTCATCATCCGAGTCGTGCACTTGTTCTTCTCCGTGTTCTTGGAAGGTATCAAGACACTCATCACCAGTCATGGGATCTGAGGAGAAGCCGAAGGAAGTGGGCCAGAGGTCATCGTCAACAACGTCGATGTGGAAGCCGGCGCCAAGTGGGTTGGCATTGGAGCAAGGCAAGGTTTGGGGCAGCTGAATTTGCCTAGGAGAGCAGTTGGATGGCGCGGCAGAGGCTCCGGATGGTAGAATAGAGAGCGAGCGGAAGATATGCAGGAGCTCGGAGAGCTGCGGAGGCTGCTGAGACCAGCGCTGCCGCGCTTGGAGAAGCATGTGCCGAAGTGGCATTTGCGCAAGCACCCTAGGGGCGTGCTCGTTGGAGAAGCGCTCTGTCTCTGGTGTAATCA